TTGATTGTTTATTAGAATGAAAAGAGTGTATATTTCAAATTTTGGATCAAACAAATAGCCATAACATGGTTTTTGAAGGTTGTATTGTACTACTATACAACCGTTGCATGAAATCATTGGTTATATATAAAAAAACCTAAAACAACGTTTATAGGCGAAATGTTATAGTGTTTTTCCACCGGCACAGACGAGTTATGCCTGTGGCGGTTTATTGAACGGACCCGCAATGGATGGCGCCGTTTGTTACGGTTCTGTGTGAATTCTTAAGCACCACGGGCATGCTAGGTCTGTGGTGGTAAAAAAATACACGCCGCCTAATTTTTTTGGACGGTGATGAGCCTATGTGAGAAAACACTGATCATTTTCGCCCATAGGTGTTGCATAGATGCTTTCATATATATATATATATATATATATATATGGAAAACACTACGCAACGTCTATAGGCAAAAATGAACATTGATTTCGCCTATGCTCATCACCGTCCAAAGTCCATCGTACGATCATACTCGTCTGGTAGTATTTTATTTTTCATTTTTTTTTTTATAAATCGAAATGATTTGAAATTTGGAGTGTGGGTTCATAAAAAATAAGAGAATCTAATAAAAACATAAAAGAAAAATTCATAATATAAATTGATCAAAGTACCCATGAAAATTTTCAGTGGTATTTAGGTCAATTTATATTTTGGAGGTATTTTGTAAATTTATTTCATGTAAAATATTTTTTTGATATTTTTTGTAGATTCGCCTATTTTTTATGAGCACACGCTCCAAATTTCAGATCATTTCGATTTGTAAAAAAAAAAATATGAAAAATGAAACACTACCTGACAATCGTGATTATGCCATGAACTTTGGACAATGATGAAGGTAGGCGAAATCACTGTTCATTTTCGCTTCTAGGCACCCATCGGTGAAAATATATAGTGATTTTGCCTACCCTCATCACCGTCAAATGTTCATCACACGGTCACGATTGTCTGGCAGTGTTTCATTTTTCATTTTTCATTTTTTTTTTTACAGCTCGGAATAATCTAAAATTTAGAATGTGTGTTCATAAAAAATAGGCGAATCTATGACAAATATTTTACATGAAATAAATTGACCAAAATACCCCCAAAAATTTTCAGGAGTACTTGGTCAAATAGTTTTCACGAATTATTTTTTTTATATTTTTATTATATATATATATATATTATTATATATATATATTATTATTATTATTATTTTATATATTTTTTATTTTGGTCAATATATAAAAAATTCGTAAAATATAAATTGACCAAAATACCATTGAAATATTTTCGAGGTATTTTGTTTAATTTATATTTTGTAAAAGTATTTTTTTACATGAATATTATTTTTTTATATATACGGAAGATGCTAGGTTGAGCCTACTAGCTCATAGGAAAAAATGAGCCTAACATTAATATTTGTTTTTTAATGGATTCTGGGAGATGAAATCCCACCATCCACGTAACCATCCTGTAAACCCACAGATTATGGCTTTTGCTATTTCTTGATCATGGATTCCTACCATTTTGCATGCAGATGCATACATTGTCATATGTCTCATAGTATCTGAGATTTGATGTTCGGAGATTCCATCTATATTCTTCTGACCTCAAAACAGAGGTCAAAAATATTAAAAGTGAAGTATCTCAATTAAAACATAAGATACAAATACTAGAATTACAAAATAACGCTTCAGAAACAGCAATTAAAAATGATGATATTGAATTTGATAATTTAGTCCATACTTAACATCATAAAACTACACCTGAATCTTCAGGAGCCAAAATAAAGGAAGACGATACTACATCTGTCAATATACTTAATAAAGTAATTACTCAAACATGGTTTGTATTAATCAAAATTGTAATCAATAATGAATATGACTTCCAATCTTTAGCCTTAATAGACTCTGACGCAGATTTAAACTGTCTCAATGAATGATTAGTACCTACTAAATATTTTGATAAAACAACTCAAATCTTAAACGCTGCTGATGGTAGTCGATTATATATTAAATATAAATTATCAATGGTAGTCGATTATATATTAAATATAAATTATCAAATGCCATGATCTGCAATAATGGACATTGTTTTCCAACCCCTTTTATCATAGTTAAAGGATTAAGTCGAGCTGTTATCCTTGGTGCACCTTTTCTAACTTTACTTTATCCCATGACAATTACTCATACAGGGATAGAAACACATATTCATGGTACTACAATCCAATTCGAATTCTTAGATAAACCTAAAATCAAAGAAATCAATACTGTCAAAACAATTATTCAACAAAAAGAACATTCTCTATGTTCTTTACAAATAGAAATCAAATATAAAATAATATGTGAGAAATTACAAACCTTTGAAGTAATACAAAAAATACAGGCCCTTAAAACATTAATAGAAAAAGAAATATGTAATGATTTACCTAATGCATTTTGGAATAGGAAGCAACATATTATTAGTTTACCCTATGAGCCTAATTTTGATGAAAAGAAAATACCAACAAAGGCTAGACCAATTCAAATGAATACTGAACTATTACAAACATGTAAAACAGAAATAGAGGATCTATTACAGAAAAAACTCATAAGACCTAATCAATCTCCTTGGAGTTGTTCAGCTTTTTATGTAAATAAAAATGCTGAAAAAGAAAGAGGAGTTCCTCATTTAGTTATTAATTATAAACCTCTTACTAAAGTTCTACAATGGATTAGATATCCAATTCTTAATAAAAAAGATTTATTAGACAGACTTGTAAATGCAGTCATCTTTTCTAAATTTGATATGAAGTCAGGGTTTTGGCAAACACAAATTAAATAAGAGGATAAATACAAAATAGCATTTAATGTACCATTCGGCCAATTTGAATGGAATGTCATGCCTTTTGGTCTTAAAAATGCTCCATCTGAATTTCAAAAAATAATGAATGATGTATTTAATCCTTATCATAAATTTATGATAGTCTACATTGATGATGTATTAATATACTCTGATTCAATAGATCAACATTTTAAACATCTGAATAATTTTATCAATACCGTGAAACATGCTGGATTAGTTGTTTCTGCTAAAAATATCAATTTTTTTCAAACGAATTATCATTCCCATTGATAGATCTAGTTTATTTAATGATAAATTCCCTGATAACATCCTCAATAAAACCGAACTTCAAATATTTTTAGGATGTTTAAATTATATTAGTGATTTTTATCAATATCTTGCTATTGATGCAAAACCTTTATATGATAGACTCAAAAAGAATCCTCCACCTTGGACGGATCTTCATACAATTGTTGTTCAACGACTTAAGTTGAAAGCTAAATAATTGCCTTGTTTAACTTTACCTAATCCAACTGGCTTTAAAATAATTGAATGTGATGCTTCTGACATAGGATTAGGCGGAATATTAAAACAATCTATGAATTCCAAAGATTAACTCATTCGCTTTACATCGAAAGCATGGAATCCCACACAAAAGAATTATTTTACTGTCAAAAAAGAATTACTTGCTATTATACATTGTGTTATCAAATTTCAAGGTGATATTCTTAATCAACAGTTTCTTATTCGAACTGATTGCAAAGCAGCCAAGGCTATCCTGCAAAAGGATGTTCAAAATCTCG